GGGGGGGAAGACTAAATTGCAAGATAAAAGTATAAATTATTCCTTTAATTTAAAGGCTAATACTTTAAGTATTAGCAATAAATTACATACATTTTCTGCAAGTTAGTGTTAAAATTTCTAGTGTTTGAGGTGTGGCAAGGGCATATACTCTGAAAATTCTATAATAATAACAGAATAGAAAGCCAAGCCCCAACATTTCCTACATTTTTTAAATACTGAAATATTAGCATTTGGAAGGTGATTTACATTTCTTGTATACTTTTTTGTGATCAAGTTGCACAAAATAACATTTCCCAAAAAATATGCATACATTACCATTAAAAATAATTTCTGGTTTGTTGTTTCACAGAGAGTAGACAATACAATTCCCTATGTAGGTAATCATTTACTATTTACGTGATATGCATGAAAAACAATTCCAGTAAAGCAATACTAGAATATCACAGATACCAGTGGCAGTATCAGATCATAGTCACGATATGATTCAGAAAACCAGTTTACCAATACTACTATGTAGTAGTAGTAATAATCATAATAATAATAATAATTGAAATATGCACCAACTTCCTTTATATCGCATCATAGTCTGATTAGTTATATTGCTGTGTTTTTCAACTTATCTTTATGGACCTACCAATAAAGGTTAGATTCTTTCTCAACTTAGTACACATTATTCCCCGCAAGTGGCAGGCAAGTTAAACAGGTAAACAATTTTACAGACACTTGTTACAAAAAAATTGACCCATGAGCAACAGGCATAATAGGTAGAGCCAGCTGATCAGTATATGCCATGCTAAAATTGTCCACAGCCCGCTCTTTGTTACACATACTACAAGTTATTCTAGTAAATATTTCTTGTATCTTTCATGCGCTAACATTTTCCATTATTGCAAAATTGCAACATATTAAAAACTAGTAAAATAGTCTAGTTTAAAAGAATCAACAAAATGATATTTTCTTATATTGACATTCTTCCACTACAGAAATAACTGGAATCCTTATATTACTTAAATAATAATACTCAGTGAATGATGACATACCCAAGTTCTTAAAAAATTCTGCATACTGACAATTATACAAAGAAAACAAATAAGATCTAACATCGGGGTTGGTATGTAATACTTCCAATATTTCAGAGCCTCGAATGATCTGTAAAAGGTGAAAGAAAAAAGGTGCAAAAATCATATAATAGAAAACTACACAAATATTTATATGCAATGTCAAAAGTACCTTGTCCCTCAGTTCATTACGTGGTAGGGAAATCATACAGATATAAACTGTGTAACGAACAAATCCACTGTAATCCATCAATTCATACGAGGTGAAAGTAGATATAGTATCTAGGAAAAAGGTTGAGGCAGCTTTGAAGTCACGAATGAGCATACAGTATGTTCCCTGGTAAACTTTCAATCTATTTCGACGATCCCAATCACCACCTTCTTCAATTAAGCTGAAACATAAATCATCAAATCAAACACTGCCTTCTTATGATTAATGACAACTTTCCTATTGTTACTATCAACTGACTAACAAAAACAAAATGACAGCTTTAGAAAGACTGACAAACAAGATAGTTAAGAGAAATCAACAACTTTGTGGAAAGATAATATTGTAAATACACTGCCACAATACCAGAGATTATGAATTGTGCCAATAAACTTTACTATTAACACAGACTTTCAGTATATTTATAAGTACTTCCAAATAAATTTGTCCAGAGCAAACACTTGTACATTGTATCAACATGATCGTCAAAGTAAGCACAATAATATTTTTGCTAAAATTCTCTGAAGGTATTAATTGTAATTTTCAATATGTTAGAATACTAGAGAGAGCAAATATAATTACTCCCAACAAATTATTTTTTAGTGTTTCAATGCGACTTTAAATATCTATGCAATAGACAAGAATAAATGGCAAAAATATACCTCTGAGCCTTTTCAATGTTCCTAGTTATTAGATCATGATCAAGGTAGAAGAATCCAATACGAATTAAATGGAAGACAATATCAAGCCTGTGTCCAAGAGAGACTGTTTTGTCATAGGTTTTCCGAAATGCACTCAATGCTGCTTCCTGAAATCAGATTAAAATAAAAATGAAATAATGTTGAAAGTATAGTTACATATGAAGTAGTCAGGGCAACATTGTGGGGCAACACTATCCCTCATTGTGAGAGAAAAAAAACAGCAAATCATCTAATCCCACAGGCAAATCCAAACATTTTTCAGTTGGCACATACACTTATTCCAACATGTAGTTCTATGTATCCATATCACAGTGTGTGGTTTTGTGTGTGTGTGTATAGAGTGGAGGAATTGTAAGATCTTTATTTCAGCTGTATGAAATATGGGTTATGATTACGCACAATTAACCAGATGTTAAGATTTCTTGTAATTATAGAATTGATAAGAAACATTTATTAACCTTATAATATTTTCAAAGAATACTATGAAATTTGCGAGGACTATTGTTTTTAATTTAGCATGAATTGTTATAGGTGAAATTAAATTCCTTGATTTTAATGTTTGTGTCAGACAAATGATTTACATCAACACACACTCACCACACCAATATGTAATGACTTTTATATAATTCTGAAACGAATTATTTCTTTTTAAATGATATGCCCATTCTTCAGATTTAACATAATATAATAATTATTTTTACTTAATTCTACACAAGCCTTACTCAATGAACAATAAAAAGCCATTTTTAGACAAAAAACAATGGCAATAATCTACACAATATAATCTCAATATTGTCAACAATGAGGTCATGCAGATTTTTCACCTTGTCACCAATTCGACACAAATGTTCTGCTTTCTTGAGATTCGCTTCTCTGACTTCCATTTCTCCCAAATTCTTTTCAGCATCTTCAATAGCATCATCCAATTCTTTTAACTTCGCTGCATTTGCTGCTTTCATTCTTTCAAGCAATGCTGTATCAGGCGCCCAGTTCAGGCTCTGACAGCATTCTTCATAAAACGGAGCCATGTCTGTAAATTACCAAAGAAAATTAGTATTTAATACGCACAATTTAGATTGTAATGACATATCAGTACACACAATAACAATTAACCAGCACTCTCTGATTAATCGATCATTATGATTGATTACAAAACAACCATTATGTGCTTCTGACAACGGTGTATGACCTTTATCCACAGGAATGCCATACAATACTAAGAAAAAAGGTGATTACAGAGCTATCGCTCTCAAAAAGTTAAACACAATGAAAGAAAAAAACAAAAACGAAACTACAAATGAATGACAAAGTATATTATTTCAACAATCATCACTTATAATCAGACAATAAAACAGACTGCTGATTAAATCTTTATCAATCCAATGAAGATTATCGAAACATTAAATCATATTAATTCATTCAATCAAAAAGGTTCATGGTAAAACATTATTTCCATGGCAAATATGTCATAAGTTCAAAATGCAACAAATATCTATGACAATACAATTAACCAGCATGACTCATTAAATATACGTTCATTACCAGAAACAAATGAACGTTCTACTACAAATGAATACAAAATAAATTATTTGTTTTCATTTCACAAACCTTGTATGATACACACATTATTCATTACTTTAAATCTTCATTACAGTAGAGCGCAAACAGATACAAGTAAGCAAATTTGATCTGAGACTACTTTTGCTCCAAATAGAGATATTTGCAAATAATATGACCCAGATCTGTGCTGTGTAGTAAATCATTTCTAGCATTAAATTTCACAGCTCTTCATTAAAATCACTAATGCAAAAGCTATGATATTTTTAAATCAAATACAGTAATATAATACACAACTGATGAATCTAAACAAAAGTCGCATATCAAATAGCAACTATGAAAATATAATTGAAAGCACAAAGAGAAAGAAAAATGAAAATAATTAATTACTCAAGTAGTCATTGGCAATTTTTTTTCTTCCCTTTTGTGTGTTTACTGCACAATACATATTTTACCCAAGAGTTTACTATTATGCTAATGTTCCATTCTTTTAATACTTATAGGTAAAAATATCATAGTTTTATTCATTAAAAAAGAATAATTTAGCATGTAGTAAAATTATAAATTTGTTTACAATACCACAAGCGTTATAACACGCACAGATGACATATTTACATATATTCTTTGTGGATATTTGCAAAATATGCGATCACATGCATGGATAATTTACAGGGAAATATAGTTGAATCTAACGCAATTGGCAATTATAATAATAATAAACAGTTATCATGACAAGTATATTTTCTGAGGTTAGAATACCCATGACAGGCAACTTTAAAACACACTCACTTTCTGCTCGTATGCTGTCCATCAACCGTGCTGTAATTTCTTTCTTTTGAGCAAAATCGGGAGATCCCAATAAGAACTTCCATTGCGCTAGAATTAGTTTGGGATTCTTCTCCAACCCTTCTTCTTCCAAATTTTCGATAGGCATCTTGCAAACACCACCAAATCTTGTTCACTATCGCTACAAGTGAGTCGCTAGTTCCAATACGTTCCAATCAGAGAGTATATTCCAATAGAGACCCGATCAGCACCAGCACACCTGACCGAATCTTCAATGAACCGAATGACCACACCTTGAACCGAATCTCTCGCAAACTAAAGAATCGCTCTCGTCAGTCTACTCCGTAGACTAATTTTACACACAGTGACACAATGTAAGATATTTATTATTATAAATATTATTCTTATACCGTGTCATTGCTCTCCTTCATAGCCTGACGGATCTCTCGGAATTCTCTGAATCGGAACCTGCTCAAATCTGTTTCATGAACCGTCCATTCACTGTCTGTCTTTGCTAACTCATTATTTTTTTTAGTACTGCCGCGATAAACAACAGTCCTCACCACCATCATAATTATAGGGGGCCTAGGAGCAGTCTTCATTGAAAATATTTATATAAATAAGTTAATTAATTCGAATGTGATATTAAACATTATTTATTAAAAAGTTCGTTAATTTTAATAATATTTTACAAATTTATTTTTAGACTTTTATACTTTTTTGAAATATTATCTCACTAAAGGTGCGACTTAAACAGAATATATTTTGGGTCGTAACACTAAACATTAACCCGTATACGAATTGACTCCCGACGCCGCAAGAACAGCGAACGAAATCGAAGAACGATCGACGAGAACTTGCAGGAACGATGGTATTCGTAGTTCAAATGTGCATTGTTGTTTACGTACACGTCAAGAAATTGCAAAAGAATGATTTTCAAGTTCATATAGAGACAACTATTCAATATTTACTTCATCGATTGTAACTCATTTTTTAACAATAAATTATTTTGAAATCGTTTTCTGTTTTATCTAAAACAAACTGTTCGGTAAAAAATGTATTTTTTCCTAAAATCTGGTAGAAATTAGACTCAAGAAGCTTATGTTAATCAGGCAGGTCTTGTCATCAATTTGGACACGAGTAGCATAAATTGTCAAAATAATTTTATTATTCGAACCATTTGCATGTACCCCGCTAATCCGAACCCCGTAAATCCGAAATTTCAGATAATTCGAACAAAAATCGAACTAGAGGGAAAGATGAACAAAATAAATACTTATAGAGTAGCAGTTACTTGTAGTGTAGTCAAACTTTATACTTGTAGTGTAAAGAAATAATTTTATAATTACTGTAAAACTGAAAAAAATATTATTTAAACATAAAATGTCGAAACGTTTATTGAACTGGTAACAACGGTGTATATCACACGTTTATGTAGCAGTAAGTATCCCGAGGAACGTGCAAAATCCGTAATCTTTTGCCGTAAGGAACTGGATCTGCTTAATGATGGGATGTGATGAGTCAATCGAAATGCCACATTGCATGCTACGTTGCATTATGTCTGCTAATCATACATATGTATTTGTATACTATGTGCGTTACATTTTTCGGATAATCTGAACATTTCCGAATCCGAACACACCTCACCCCTTAATTAGTTCGGATGTACTGGGGTTATTTTTCTAAAGGTTATTTTTCTGCTGCATCTGACTGTAGTTGATATTTTTATCTTTAATTTTTAGTCCGAGTGCGTGGTTGAAGGAAGCATCAAGTCCCAGCAGCGACAGGGGTTAACGCAGATGAGGCAACAGATGGAGAGGAATGAATAATGGAAGAAGTAGTAAAAGGATTAGGTTCAGGGGATATCAGATTCAGAAGGTTTTTGATTTATTTAGTCAAAAACAGTAGAAACGGTATGTGATGTATGGGGGAGGAATTCACTTGCGAACGCTTTCTTGACATCCACAACCCCTTCCCAACATTTGAATAATAAATAGTTGAAGGTAAATTTTTAAAATAATAATAATAATAATAATAATAATAATAATAATAATAATAATAATAATAATAATAATAATAAAATTGAAAAAAGCGTGAGATTAGCAAAATTTGTAGAAACTTGACATTTTCGTTCCAGAGATTTTTATAATATTAGGGTAATTATAATTTATTTGTCCCATTCAACAGCACAATCAAAATTACGACATATACCCTAACATTAATTAATTAATTAATTAATTTATTATTTATTTATTTATTTATTTATTTATTTATTTATTTATTTATTTATTTATTTATTTATTTATTTATTTATTTATTTAATTTAGTTAAAAACTGTGTATGATGTGCTAGGGGGAGAAGTGTACCCTGAGCACGTTTTCTGAAATTCTGGGATCCCTACCATAACCCGTAAAGAAGTTGAATCATGAATGCAGATGAAATTAGCATTTTTGGCAAGTATTGATAAGAAAAATTCCCTCCAGTGTTATAAAAACTTGTTTAAACGGCAAATTAGCTACAGAGTTTCGCTATTATTCCTCTTCGTGAAGGAATTGTGGAGGACTTCCTGCCGTGAGAACATGGAGAACGATAATTTGAACAACTGAACTAAACGACGTGCACAGATAGTAAAGTTACATTTACGTCTAGAAACAAAACAAGGGGCCATCATAGCATTCGTTCAAATTATCAGGGAAACTGGACGAAAAATCTTACCGAGATGGGGGTCATAAGCTGAGGTACAGTACTTGTTACAGGTTCTTTAAAATTATACAGCCCAAATGGTCATTAATACATTCATCATCATTTTTAAAATTAATATTACTTTCCATTTTGATACTCGGTGTAATCTCTAATTGTATAGAAACAGTTATGCAGCAGAAAAGATTTTACTTGGCATTAAAATTGTTAACGGAATTAATCATTTAATGTCATCTGGTTGTTAATTAATATACATGTATTGTGTGCGAATTTTATGTAATATTAAAAACAGTACAGTAATTTGAATTTAAAAAATTAGCATCAAAGGTAATATATCTATGTTATTGCTGTACGTTCTCTTGCAAACATAACCTTCCAAGTCATGTATAAACACACACACATACACACACACACACACACACACACATCTCGGACGTAATTGGGTTCAAAGCGTTCCTGAAGGATGGAAGAGAATTGGAGTGAGTGGAGATGGGTCTTCGGCAGGACACTGTCGAGGATGGGAAAGGATGTGTTTTATTTATAAGCTCGCTACCGAGTGCATGTCTCCCGACAAGGTTCAGGTGAAGACTATGCCGGGTGAAGTTTTTTCTGAGAGAAAGTTCAGCTCAAATTGTTTAACATTTGTGCTTCTCAGATTCTAGAGATTAATAAGTAAACTAGTGCTGTTACAACAGCACATACTTTCTCACATTATTTTTATCTTTTGAATATTTTGAAAATTCAGAGAGGACGACGGAAACTAGACCAGCTCCAATCTTTAAAGCATCACTTAAGCTATCCATGTGTAATATATCATGTTACATGTTCATTTATTTCATTATCAACAAGGTGTTCATGTATTAGAAAGATTTACATGTACAAACTGCAAAATAATGTAATATTTATTTGTGTTAGTTGGACATTAGAAGGAACAAAACCATCAAATTTTCGTGAATAGGTTGTGACTTGTTAGTACTTGGTTTGTGAACATTCTTTTGCAGTTTTTACATTGTTACTTAATTAATATAAGTGTTATCATTGCGATTTCAAAATTTCTTTTAATAAAACTATTTGACGTGAATGAAATTACCTCATTTGAAAACAAATATTTTTTGTAGAAAATGTATTTAATATTTTCATTTGTTCAAACCAGAAGATCGTGGAGGTAGTTTATTTTAGAAAAGAAATAGGTATTTAATTTAATATTTAATATCTAGGGTGCGGATTCCTGAAAGTATGCTTTAAAAATATCAAAATATTCACTTGAAAACAAAAATATGCAGAGACAAAAGTGCGTGTTTTATTCTAGTGTACAAAATAGTTTGATTTTCGCGTTGAATGATACATACAAATTTAATTTATATTGCAAAAGATCGTGATATATTTTTCCACATTTTCTGAAGTGAATCTTTTTCTGTTATGCGCAGGAATGTCCTTATACACAGAAAAAGTTCTTTCAACTTCGCATGAGTTTAGGGGACAACACATAAAAACTGCAATTTCTTTAGCTGTGTAGTTCTCAATAGCATTCGTTTCACCGTGTAAAATACCACTTATCTTTTTCACGTTCTCAAACCGGAATTTCATTCTTCAATTTTTCTTCTAACTGTAAGACTCGCCCTAGGCCTACTGGTTATGGCAAATTGTTGAATGACGTTGCTACAGAGTGCAATAAGTTTACTACAGTAGTTACTTTTAGATCACTTTCTTCAAGATTGGTAATGATTTTAGCCAAAATTTTGTATTATATATAATTGTCACCATTCCCGTCACATTGTTGGACGCAATTACACTCGGAGAATATATTCCGCAGTCGTAAAGGTGTCCAAATTGTGCCCACGTTACTGAGTAACAATGCATTTAAGTAATTAAATTTGCTCAATAACAAGTTGCCCCGACCGGCTCTCGAACCCGGGCCTTCTCGGTTTACGCACAGCTTCTCTGATCTGCTCTAAACCCTAAGCTACCAAGCTGCGGCCAACATGGTGACGGGATGGTGACAATTCTATATAATATATATACAAGGAGCGATAATCGCGCTCGTGAACTGTTTAAACGATTGGTTGTCTCGGTAGCTTAGTGGTTAGAGGAGCTGGGCGTGAGCTAGAAGATTCGGGTTTGAACCATGGGTCGGGGCAACCAATTCTTTGAACAAATTTAATTATCAAAATTATGAAGTGTGGATTAATTTATGTTAGTTTACTATGATTCCTTAATCATTTGCAGCTATTATTACTGAAATAATACACATCGAATCTGCATTCAGTAAAGGAAGTAGCTTCTTAATAGCTTTAATCTGTGACCAGTAATAAAGTATAGCATTGAGTCATGTTGCCCATCTAAAACGGCAAGGATAGGCTCTGACGAAATGAGAATTTCTGGTAGTTGTGCGTTCATAACTGCGTTCTCGACGGAGCTTTGACAAAACCCCTTTTACCTGAAGAAATCAAATTATTAATTTAACGCGAACGTATCTCTGCGGCAGCACGATGTGGACACTGCAAGTTATGTGGCGCATTTTGGGGTAGAACACTGGAAGAGCTACCGTTGCTTTCAGCATGTATGCTGCACTATCCGTTAGAAATACCAAAAATCTCTCTCCGAGCTCT